ACCCTGCGCTTCACCTAGCATACAGCAGCGCAGCTTGGCTATGGCTGCGTGCTCCCTCCTACTCGCCCGTGAGAGCGTGAGTGCCAGCCAGCCAGTGCATTGCGCAGCAGCGCTCACGCAGCATGCAGCCAGCACCCGAATGCCGAATGAGGAGGCAGGCCCTTCCCTATATCGAAGTGGCCTGCCTGCGTCCAGTCCAGGAAGCTTCCGGTAGGCCCCTGTAGGCACAGGCCCAGTCACGAAGGGAGCAGGCCTTGGGCCTGAAGTGGTTGCATGCGCCCAACTGCTTTCGGCCTGTGTTTGGCCCGGTACCCGTATCCAGCCCAGGGCCTGCTTCACATTCATTTACACAGGCGGCCCAGGGCCCGGATTCATTCAACCAACTGGCGCAACGCAACTGTCTGAATTTCCCCGTTGCGGGGTACCCTGAAGAATGAGCCCCGAAGGGCCTGTCGTGCCTGCCTTCACTTAGGGCGGCCGACCTTGTTGCAGATAGGGCCCCGTAGGGGCTAAGCGGGCGTAGCCTCGCAAAAGAAGAAAAGTTAAAACTGAAATCGGTGTTCTTCTGTATTTCTGATGAAATTGGAACGATACAGAGAAGATTAGCATGGCCCCTGCGCAAGGATGACACACATAAAACGAGAAATGGTCCAAATTGCTAGGCTACCAGGCGGGCCGCCCGGGTCCCGGGTGGCCAACCCGTGCAAGGACCAGGTACGGTCCCACCAAAAAAAAAAAAAGAAAAAAAAAAAACCGAAAAAAAACTATGTTATGCAGAAAAGTAAGCTGCACAACTTTTGCCTCAGGGTCAGATCGAAATTTCTCACCAAATTTAGAATAGAAAATAAAATTTAAAAATATGTTTTTATTTTAAATTTTAATTTTTTTTTTTTTTTTKGCCCGGCCGATGGCCGGGCAGGTGACCCCGGGGCACTCTGGTAGCCTAGCCAAATTGTTTATTGAAAAAAAAACAACTGGAAATCAGTCCTTCTGGACATCCATTAAAATTGGAACGGTACAGAGAAGATTAGCATGGCCCTTGCGCAAGGATGACTCGCATATATCGAGAAATGGTCCAGAACTGTTTATTAAAAAAAGAAAACACTGGAAATCGGTCCTTCTGGACATCCGTTAAAATTGGAACGATACAGAGAAGATTGGCATGGCCCCTGCACAAGGATGACACGCATAAATCAAGAAATGGTCGAAAACAAAAACAAACAAAAACAAAAACAAGAACAAAAAAAAAAAACAAAAAAAAAAACGAAACCAAAAGTGAAAATCGTAAAATCGGGGACAGTTTAGTTCTGTTCTCGATCATCCGTCAGGCCAACCCTGGCTAGTGCCGGCTGTGTATATCGCTGCAGGCTTTGGTCAGCATCGGGGGCAGTGGTTTGTAAGGGGTTATATACTGCCTCATGGTCGTTGTTGGGTGCCTGGCGTGCATATGCACTGATGACGGAGTCGAAGCCCCTTCAAACATGGGCTCCACCATCTGCAGATGTACGCTGATTCTGTGCCTGACATAGTGCCCTGGAATGGCCAAGACTGTGAAGGCATATCATACCTCTTTTTTCCAGTTAAAAGAAGGGACACCCTTGGTTGGGTTACTTTCTTTCTTTCTTTTCTTTTTCTTTTCTTGTCTTCTCTTTTGTTTTTTTTCCAAATCCTTGGTTAGGTTTCTGTTTCTATCCCATCCTGTGACTTCTTTATGACTTGTCTGCTGCGGAATTGCTAAGCATTAGAAGTTGAACTGTGATTATTTATGTTTGCTTTGCTCATCACGTGTCCTGTTCAGGATTGTTTAGTGTCCGTCTGATGATGTGTGGCACTTCTTGCCCTTGTCTTTGAATTGCAGAGGAACGAGTCTGACTCAATGACGACGTCGTCAGGCCCAAGGACCCCGTGGCGTCTCAAAGAATTTGTTTTGCTGCAGCAGTTGCAGGATGCGAAGCAGCCATGGAATGCACTGGAGACCATTTTAGACCCTCCAGAGAAGGTAGGACCTGTTAAGCACTTGCTGCACACATCCGGTTTGTATGGCTTCGGTTTGCTTGCCTGTGTGTTGAACGGTTGGAGGCAGGTTGTAGTGCTGGTGCTGGTTGGGGCCAAAGGAGTGAAGGGGAAGCAGAAGGTGAAGCGAAGGGTGCCTGGTGGTGTCAGGACCTGACGTCCGGTGAAGCGACCGGCATGTCTCCTTGAAACAAGCAGTATGAGATGCTGTCTGGTGAGTTGGGGAAGCAAAGTGGAAGGCCTGAAGAAGAAGAGGTTGTAAAGTGACAATTGAAGGTGAAGCAAAGA